AGCATACTTAGCTAAACTGCTATAGGCGATACGTTTTGGAAGGGTGTCTGCCAATCATAATGGCAGTGATTGTCTTAAAATCAATAAAACCTAGATATTTTTTTTTATGACACCTCCTTTTTGTCCACTTACGAATAAAAAATTTCTTTTATAGCTGATTCGGCAATTTCCAAACAATCATTTATGCGCAAATATTTTTTTGTAACTAATGTTGTGATTGTATATGCTAAACAACTAAATTTCACTGAGATTAAAATTAAATAATTTTTCAATGCTTCATTTAGCATGATATTTTGAGATTTCCCAATAGTCATAGAAGTTAAAAATATACTGATAGATGGGTGCTTTTGCCACTGCACCATATGGTTTAAAAACGTAGGTATTTATGTATAGATGATAAAACAATAAAATAAGTTTAAAAATATTTATAAACTACCGAAACGTGTAAAAGTATTTAAAATAAAATTGGGGTAATTTTAATAAGAATGCAGGGCTACAATTCAAAAAATTAAATAAAAAAGTGACCAATTTTTTTTTTTAGGTGATCAAAACTTAAAAGTAACTATTTAAATTAGCAACAATGAAAAAACCTGTGTTTTTGAATGCTTTTTAGTAAGTGTTTGTGATTAATTTAAACTTAAAGATATTATATAAAAGCAGCATAATATGAATAAATAATTATATTGAGATAGGTAGTGGTTATAAATGTAGGTAGAAGAAATAAAAAGGGGGGAAATATGATACAGAAAGCAGAGAAATAGAAGAGGATAAGAGATGATTAGATATTTAGATCAAATATTAGACAAATTAAATAAGGTAGTGCTAAATAAATCTAAGTCTTTAGTTGAATTACCTGCTGACATAAGTATATTTTCAGGTGTATATAGCATATAGTTTGAAGAGATAGAGGAAAGATAAAAAGTGGAATTATTTCTGGAATTAGATTGGTTTACTCTAAAATTTAAACGTTCGATTATTTCGGGACAATCTATAATATTATGTAATAGTTTATATAAAAATTTACAGTTTAAGATAATGAATCTTTTATTCAGGGGCATTATTTTAAAGAGATTACAAACGGTTTCATATCCAGAATGAGGAGTTCTTTTATAATGACGATATTTATATGATAGGTATCTAAGTATCTTAAGAAGTTATTCTGGACAGTAGATAGACTATGGTTTTGGATAATATTATTAATACGCCAAATTATAGAGGCATAGTCAAAGTTAGAACGAACTAGCGTAAAGTACAAGATTTTTAGAGCTGATTCATCGTAAAAATCTTTACACATACGTTTTACTAAGCCAAGTTTCTTGTAGGATTTGTTTCTTATATGATTAACATGAAAATTGAAAGAAAGTTTTGTATCGAAAAAAACACCCAAGTCTTCAATTACATAATTACGTGTCAAGATGGAATTATTTAATGTGTAATCAAAAAGTAAAGTATTCTTTTTTAAAGAAAATGAGACTATAGCACATTTATCAATATTCAAAGGCATATCATTTTCAATACACCATTGGTAAAGGCTGTTTAAGTCACATTGTAGTTCTAATGCATCATTAGTACATTTAATATTCTTATATATTTTTGTGTCATCCGCAAGTAAAAGACAACTTGAATGTTTTAAAATTTTATTAATGTCATTTATGAATATCGAGAATAGTAATGGTGATAAGTGATCACCCTGAGGAACGCCGGATAAAATATTAATTCGATCTGAAATATAATTTTCATATTTTACGGCTTGAGTGCGATTGGTTAAGAAGGAATGAATCCATGAAAGAAGTGGGTCATAAAAACCATAAGCTTTAAGTTTTGTTGTTAGAAGAGAATGATTAACTCTATCGAAGGCTTTTTCAAAGTCCGTATAAATTGAGATTTGTTATTGAATGATTCCAGAATTAATTGTTTAAGTATACTAAGACTAGTTATTGTTGAACGCCCTGGGCGAAAACCATGTAGTTCATTTGAAAGAATGTTTTCACATAATGGAAAAATTTTATTATTTACTAATTTAGAAAATATTTTTGGTATGATTGAAATTTTGGAGATAGGTCGATAATTATAGTAACTAATGATTTATTACCTTTTTTTAAAAATTGATGTAATAAATGAAAATTTCCATTTTTCAGGAAAGATACTAGTCGTTAGAGATTTGTTAAATAAGTAAGTTATAATAGGTGATAATATAAATGACGATTCCTTTAAAAATTTTGCAGAGATACCATCAGGACCAAGTGATTGATTTTGATTAGTACACCAAAATTCATTAAAAACATCCATTATTGAAATATTTATAGAGTTAAGGCAGAATAAAGAGTTATCTAATTTACTGATATTGGAAATATTATAACTATTTAATGTGTTTGGCTTATATACGTTTGAAAAGTGTGATTTAAAAAAATTGACTATCTCGGAGCCAGAGGAGGTTTTTTTCATCCAGATATGACATAACTGCAGGTAACTGTAACGATGATTTTTGTGAGTTATAAAATTTCCAAAAATGTTTTGGGTTAATTTTAACTGAGTTTTCAGTGTTATTAATATATACATTATAATCACGACATCTGATATTTTTACATTGAATTCGAAGATTAGAAAAAGTGATATAATATGACTCGGGTAAATTTAAAGTTTTATAAGCAAGATGAGCAATTTGTTTTTGTTTGATTAAGATTTTTAATTCCTTACTAAACCATATAGGATTATGTTTTAATAATAATGAATTTAATGTTTAAATGTTTTCAACAAATGACTAAAAGATATTTTTCATTTATTTTACTGTAATATTACTATAAATCAAAGAAAAATAATCTTAAATGCACAATATTTCACATTACTATATTAACCAGCATCCATCGGTTATATTTCTGCTCTGAGGTCTTCTGTAGATTAGACACTAACTGTAGTAGTATTGGTAGATTGTTTAAGAAAACATATTTTAATTTTTTAAGTTTACAGAACCTTGAGAGATAAAAATGTAGATATTGTAGACAAGGAAAAGTGGATTTATCCAACAGTGTAAGTGTTTGTGAATATTAACTTATGTTAATAATATTTAATAATTATACAAATTATAATTTACTTTCATATCTTTTTTGTATATTTGTATAATTGTTTTGAAATAAGACAATTAATAATTAATGTATATAATATTATGCATTGTTCTTATGTTTTAATAATAATGATTAATGAATTTAATGTTTGGATGTTTTAAACCAAGTCTAAAAGATATTTTTAATTTACTTTTCTGTAATTAGTATAAATCAAAAAAATAAATACAATTAAAAAAAAAAAAAAAATATATCAACAATGTGTAAATTAAACATTTATAATTGTTTATCGAATATTAGGTACTAGTTAGGTATGCGATATTGCTGGCGACTTTACCGTCAAGATAGGCAGGACTTTTTTCTCGCCATGCTAGAAGACTTAAATAACGTGAATGAAAGCCAATAATAAATTAAAAACAACGTAGGTATGTAGAGGCGTAGGGCGCATACCGAGACAGAAACTTGTCTGTAGAGCGCATACCGAACTAGTACCGAATATTGTTCTGACAAACTTATAGCAATAATTATATTAAAAAAAAAATTAAATATACAACATCTCATGTTACTATATAAAACAGCATACTTTGATGTTTGATTATATTTCTACTCTGAGATCTTCTGTAAATTAGACACTCTCTGTAGTGCTTTTGGCAGACTGCTTTAGAAACTATTTTAATTGTTTAAGTCTACAGAACCTGAGTGATTAAAATGTCACCAGTTATGTTTTGCATACGTAAACTGTGCTCGTTGCATAAGTGCAACAAAGCAACATATATGAGGGATACACTTATATGTTTTTTTATATTTTCTGGCAAAAATTTTGGCAATTCTTCTAGTACATATGAAAATAAAATATTTGTTCTCTCACCATCAGCTGGTTTGATAAAATCCATAATATATTTTTTAAGTTCTTGTATATCTACGTATCCAGAATTACAAGTGGGGTTGTACTCCTTAAAAGTAAAAACATTTAATTAATGGCTTTTGTTCAGTAAAATATGTTTTTAAATAGTTTACTTCATAATCATCATCTGGTGTATTTTGTTGGTTCAAAGCTATGGCTAAATTGTTGTCATTATTTATTTCAGACATAATTTCATCATCCTCATTTCCACGCTCAGAATAATGATCAGTGTCCATGACATTTTTGTCAATATAGTCTGTATTCTCCACTGGAACTTCATCTAGCTAAACATAGTTGAATATTGAATAAAATGTTTTAAAATGTATTTATAAATAATAATTTTTTTGCATACTAATAATCTGTCTTTTAGAATATCTTGTTCTGGAAACAAGAACAATGTGTTTGGATTTGTATTCAAATTTAATTCTTCAAATTCATGTTTATACCAGTTAGGAACCATGTTAATATACTTGCAATTTTCTAATCTTTAATGAACAAAAATATGTTAAGTTTTAGTTATTTACTATTATAATTTTCAATAAGTACTAACTGTCTGAAAGGTCTAGTATTCCGTTGGTCAGATGAAGGAATTGTGTTATTACTTGGTTCCCATTTATTATAACTACATTGGTTTTTACCAAAATTCAATTCTATATTTTTTAATGTTGTAGTCATATCTAAATAAAAATCAACCTTAAATTTAATAGCTCTTGGATTGCTACAATTATATTCAGGAACATTAGTTTCGGAATGTGTTTGAGCTACACGTGACTTAATAAGCATTGTTTTCTCGTTTCCTAATTACAATAAACACACATAATTAAAGAGTAATGAACAATATACACTCAAAAAAAATATTACTGTCGGTTTTCATCATTTCGAACTTCTCTTTCCAATGATTGGGACATTTAAAGTTACGTATTTTTTGACGATCAAAGAATGTATAATCACTGCGATTTGTTGTATCCAGCAATGATAATGTCTGAGATAAAGAATCTGTATAAAAACAATAATGTCTTAATAAACAACAACAAATGTTATTTTTTTAAATAAATATAACAGTAATACAACCCACCTAAATTTTCCGGTTTACCAAATTGATTACTATTCTGATTAGATGGTCCTGGACTTGTATGTACTATTATTTCTGAATTTGGTTTGTTAAAATCTTCATCCATTGAATCATCAGTTTCTTCAGAATTGTTAGCACAAAATGTAGATGTTTCTTGACTAAAATGTGTTTGAATATTATCTAATTTGCTTATGTCAGTGTCATCATCACAATTCGTACTTTTATCACATTCAGCAATAAATTTATGAAATGACGGACAAATTTTTCCGTTTTTGATTAAATCTATATTGCAAAAAGAAAAAATAAACAATATAACAACTTATTAGACAAAGTAAAAATTTATTTTTAGATTTTAAGCAGAGCAATGAATGTAATGATTTTACAGTGCTGATTTTTTTTTTTTTATGTGTGAAGCTTTTTAAAGTACCTAAAATGCATCAATATTCAACTTTGAGAATGGTATCTGGTAGAAAATAGTATTTGCTTGTGGATGGGGGAGTCAAAAGTAAAAAACTTCAAGTACTCTTAAAAATAATTGAATTCTTCACTAAATATTTATATCAGCATTTTCTTAAGCCATGCATTTAAAAATAATTTGGCTCTTTTTATGCTATTTGAAATTTTCAACATTTTAGGTTTTTTTTTTCAGTTTAAGTAGGTATGGTTTTCTCCTCTGTTATTTAATATATTCGTATCTGATCAACCCACGCTGCCCACTAGCCTCATCGCTGACTTTGCCGATGACAAAGCTATTTTAACCAATAGCCATGATCCATCCATTGCTTCCTCGCATATCCAAGAACATCTATCCCTCCTTGAAAAATGGTATAAGGAGTGGGGTGTGAAAATAAACGAATCTAAATCTATACAATGTACCTTCACTCTTAGGAAGGGAATATGCCCATCTATTACCTTAAATGAGCAAATCTTGCCAACCGCGCAGAGCACTCGCTATCTAGGCATAATCATTGATCAACGTCTCACATGGTCTCCTCATCTTCGCAGGAAACTGCTATTCTTAAACAATCGATTTCGTCTTCTCCGCTCTCTCCTAACCTCCAAACACATAAAACTACCAACCAAGCTTCTAATATATAAACTTTATCTTAAACCAATATGGATGTACGGAATTCAATTATGGGGCTCTGCAAAAATTTCAAACACTAACCGTATCCAACGCTTCCAATCCAAAACGCTCCGAGCCATAACTAAAGCACCTTTCTACGTGTCCAACCAGACCTTACATAACGATCTTGCCATCTCACCCGTCTGTGATGTAGCTAGAACTTTTTATAGACGATTTAACTTATCTGTTAAAAACCATGATAATCCCCTAATTAAAGGACTTGCGTCGGAATTAATCCTAGGAAAAGACTAAAAAGGCGGTGGTGTCGGGACCTATTAATTTAGTTAATTATCTAATCTTTATTTATATTTATAACTTTATTGTTAACTTATTGAAATGTATATAAACAGCTGACAAAGTGTCTTCACTGGAAGGCTTCTTAAATCCGTCCTTTCCTCAAGCCTTTCCTCATTCTATTATCTATTTTACTTATTGTTCATTTTATTGTAACAAATTGTAAATAAAAATTATAAAAATAAAAAAAAAAAAAAGTAGGTATGATGTAATTCAGTTTTATTTGTAAACAAAAAATTTTGAAAATTAAATGTAAGTTATTGTTTTTACAGTAATTAAAAATATTCTAATTGACAATTGTATATATTTTATATTACTGTGTAGGGTGTCCTACACTTGCTAAACTCAATGGTACTTGACACCTTCTGGCTTCTATACCTGCTGTATAGACTTCTTTGGTTTTATATTTATATTAATGAAACTTATGTATATAATATTAAAAAAGGTGGGTTAATGGATATCACTCTGCTGTACAGTAGGATACAAGTGGGTCACTGTATAATGGATGGTATTAAATTTGAATTCAATGATATAATACCATTGTATAAGAAAAACGATTCTGAACAAAGACGGTCAGTCAGTCTATGATATATAATATCACTAAGTATATATATAACCTATTTACGTGGAACCTTGTTTTAAATTTTCAATCCATACCTATAAAAGTTGAACATTTGTCAAAAATCGAACTTTAAATGCTTATAAAAATTTAATTTGACTTTCTTATGGACATTTTTTTTTTTTATAAAAGTAGACAAACTTGTGAAGAATCATGTGTTACTTGTGTGTTACATTTTAAAATCTTAGATTTAAAAAGTAAAAATTTTAATGAATTTCCAACTCATAATAATTTGCCATTTTTTGTGATTTTTACGCCCTTTGTCAAAATTCAAACTTAAATGCCTACAGAAAAAAAATGGTGACAATGGATTTTTAATATTTTTCAAATTTCATTGTAACAATATATTAAGAGCCTTGTATTACATTTTAAAGCTTTTATACCCAACGAATAACATTTTATCGACATTCATCGAAAAAAAAAACTAAAAATATTTAAAATTGATTATGTCTGTAAACAGCTCAAAACAAGTTAAAATATTTTGAATATTTTATGATGTAAAGAAAATGCGAATATAAACAACCAATGAAAATATCATGTGTATACATTGATTTGTTTTAGAGTTACACCAAAAACCAAAATCAATTATCTTGAAAACCGATTCCGAGTAAAAATTTCCGTATTTCTTTAATATTTTATATGTTGTTTTTTCCAGAGCTTTAGAAAAGATTGGGAATTTTAAATGTACCAACTAGATTCACTTTCTCACCGAACAAAATACTATAGAAGAAAATCGAAGCAGTTTTACTGCCCCAAACAGAGATAGACACAAAAAAAAAAAATTAAAAAACACACATCATTGTAAAATCATTACATTCATTGATCCGCTCAGAATCTAAAACAAATTTAAATGAAGAAATAAGATAGAAGAATTTGGGTGTCATAAGTCATAACATCATAAAGCAATGATAAATTATTACTAATATTTTGTTATAGTACATGCAAAAACTTATTTAAACTTCATCACTTAACCACCTCAGTAGTACCAATAATTCAAATCTTAAGTAACATTGATTGATGATGATAACTGGTTATAAATATTTATGAATGTTAATTGCTTATAATTTTATGATTTGAAACATAAATCAAGACATTGGCTTGGAGTAAATAGTATTTTTTTTACATGCATAATATAATATTAAATAATTTTAATAATAACATTAGATGGTAGTGGAGAATTTTATATGAATAGCAATATATTATTTTAGACATTTCCAACACCAATATAATTTTTTTTTAATAACTAATTTTTGTTTTTTTATATGCAATTTAAAACTGGTAAATTACCTTATATTTTGCAATCGAGCATTCAAGCTCATGGTTAAGAAGGCAATACCTTTAACAAAAGTAAAATTTGTCTCTCTACCTCAAATATTACATTTTTATACATCACAGTGACTGCACCTTTTATAACTAAGTCTACTTTTCTGATATTTTTGACTGTTTATGACTGTATGCCATCCATCCCCACTTGACTTTGAATAGAATAATGTTTTTAGATATGTTACCATATCAATGTAATGTATGAGTAATATATTATTATACTTACTACTTAAATTTTCCATTTTATAATATGTTTCTTGTTGATTTTCATTCACTTTTGGAACATTGTTGGAAACATTGTATTCTGGCCAATAAGTGTCATTAGAATATCTATTCATCAATATTCTTGAAGGTTTTGCATAGTCAATCACATCATTGTTAAAATTAACATTGAAAAAATGTTTTCTAGGTAGCATTTCTTTGTCTTTAGAGCGTAACTTTTCTGCTGTTGTTAACATTAGTTTTTTCTAAAATTAAAAATGAATCATATTAATAAGCTACCAGTTATTTGAATAATAAATATTTAAAACATACTCTAGATTTTTGTTTTGTTTTTGTCTCATTCTCTTTCTCTTTAACAAGCTTTTTGTTTTTGGTTTCTGCCACAAATTCTTTAATTAATTTATTACCAGTCTTTAAAACATAATCAACTCTACATGAGTACACCTTACTAATGGCATCAAATGTATTACTAATTTTCTTTATTTATAACAAAAAAAAAATCATATTATATAATTATACAAATACTACAATAATTATATTTATTAAGTATCAAATTTACCGAAATATCCGTTTTTTTAGATCTCTTTACCATTTGTTGTACACAACTGATTAAATCTATATCAAATGCATTATCTACATTGATTTTCTAAACAAAAATGTCAATTGTCAATTTGTATTGCAAAATATTAAGTAAAATAAAATCTTACATTTTCCAAGTACAATGAATTATACTGATTAACTTTAGTATTCAAGTCCTCCATGGATAAATTATTAAGTTTTTGTTCTTTATTGTCATCCTCAAAACAAACTTCTTGGTTTAATACAGCTTTAAATGAAGTTATACCATGATTTATATCTCCTCGAAAACTCTTTTCTTGTTTGGATGATTTTTTTTTTGACGCATTGTTCATCTGAAAATGATCCATAAATATATTTGTCTATTGTATACAATTTACACAACGCACAGCATTTTTTTTTTTGCACAATATACATAAAATAACATGTTTGCTTAAGCGTCATTTTTTCTAATTTAAATTATTGATAATTTTTAATTAACTTAATAATTATCCTCTAAAATAATATAACTATTTTTGAATGCTTAACTATTTTTTAGATAACATATAATAATAGGTAATATTTTATAACTTAGTTTACCTATAGGTTCATCACTTCTTTTATTTAGATAGTTTTAGATCAATTTTCATATTAAGGGTCCTAGTTGGAATTTTTCAAATTTTCTGCAGTTCTATAAAATTTGAAAATTAAATTTTATATTTTAGTTGCCACCTCAATTATAATACGTTTCTACTAATCTACTACCCGATACCTATTTAGGTATTTAGGGGGGAGGGGAGGGGGGGGTTGATAGGGTGTATTATAATGATCAAAGCACACTTTACAGGAAAAACTCTCACACCTCGTATATTGGTCCGATTTCCGTAATTCTCTTTTTGTTAGATAGAGGAATATTTTTTACAGGTATCATTGGACTTTGATTTTTGATTACATTGCTAAAAATAAAAAAAAATACAAAAACTAAAAAGTTGTAAAAATGGATTAAATTCAAACTTGTAGTATAATATTTGGAAAAATAATTTTGAAAATCCAAGTCCAATGCGCCCTGCAATAAGTCTTCCTTTATCTAACAAAAAAAAAATTATGGAAATCGGACCAATCTATGAGGCGTGAGAGTTTTTCCTGTAAAGCATGTTTTTGAGCAAAAAAACCGGTCACGCGTAGGACCTTTAAGGATTGTAAAAAGTGCAAAAAAAATTGCCTGTACCTAATGGCTTTCAAAATTCTTGTTGGCCCTAATTTTTAATGTGCACCCCTGGAACCAAGAGTCTGCGCACTCTTATGTACTTTGTAATTTCTAAATTATTTTAATTATTAATATCTTCATAGCAAATTGAGTAAAAATTATCCTTACATCCTAAGAACAGAAATTTTTCACAACGAGTAACTGCAAATATTAACTTAGCAAAAAGTAATATAAGTACCTATATCGTGTAGGATAGGTAATCATATACAGAAAAATAATATCTTCATAAGCGATAAACAAATAAAATAAATAAAAATTATTTTACTGTAGGTAGATGTAAACCGAACTATTAACAATAATATGAATATGATATAATAATTATACAATTGTATTAATTTATCAAGACAACCATTACTCACACTATTATTTTGATCTTGACAGTCCATGTTATTCAATATTATATAAAAATAACAATATAGGTAGGTAATTATGTTATAATGGTAAGTATATAATATATTAGGTATACTCTGGGTGTTTAGAATAAGAATGAAGATGAACCACAATCACATGAGGCACTTGCAAGTTGCAATGCAATATTGCGAAGCGCAGGCTGACGGCACAGCCGTACCGGTCACCGCAGAGTTACCGACGACACCGACTTCCGAACATTTTTTGGGCTTCCAAAGTTAGAATTGTCGAAAAGGCGAGTGCCCAACACCGTCGGACCGTGGTAAAACCATAGAAATACAGAATAGGTTTACACAGGACGGACTCGCAAAATCTCAAAAAAAAAACGTGAATAGCCGGCCAAGATAATATCACTGATAATCTGTGATCATATTATTATACTAAACACAAGTCACAACTCACAACTCACAACCATATTGTTCTAAAGTAAAATTTACTTGGTCATTTGAACACGGTGAGCCGAGCGCGCCTAATGAGTATGACATTATGATATTACTTAAAATACCGTAAAGAACCAAAGTGTAAAAGTAAAAAGATTCGACATTTCAATGAATCAGCGATTTTGATGATTGCAATTGCCGGCATTTGACGCCATTTGTATCAATTATCAAACCACCGACTAAGATATGATAACTGAATAACTGATAAGAAACATTGTTTAATATTTTTTGCTTGTGTAGTTGACGTGTGCTCGGTTGTGTATCAATTTATAAATCAGGCGCTTAATGTAATGCATCGTAACAACAAGATAACCTTCAGAAATACGACAGCACAGCGAAATTAAATATTGTTCATAGAACCTAATTAAAACTCTCGATTCTGTAGGGAGGATAAAAAAAAAATAGTATGTGGCTATAGGTATTATAGGTATAGGTAACATCGTAATGGATAAGTTTGGTACCTACTTCGGTCAACAGTATTTTACAGTTAAGGCTTATAATACGTATACGAGTATTTTAACTGGGAAGTGATTCATTTTAAAACTAATTTTTTAGAAAAGTATTAACACTGGCATACGTGTTGTATTTATAGTATAATACTTTTTATTATATAATAATATAATATACTAATCAGCAGCTTGTTTTAGTAGACAATTAGTTAAATTTAGTTTAATTAATATAACATAATTTGTACAACCACTGAACCACGTATTTTAGAAGGTAGTTACTAGTTAGGCTATCATACATATTTGGACCAGTATAATACAGAAGAGTCCTACAGGTTACAAGTGGGTCAATGTATAATGGATTGTATTAAACTTGAATTCAATAATGATTTAATATCATTGTATAAGAAAAACGATTCTGAGCGGAGACGGTATGTCAGTCTAGGTGTAAGACATATCACATATTATATACTTATCTATGTTATTCAAAATAATTGACCCATAATAGGTACTTACCTATAATAAATTCCAAATTAACCATATCACAATATCCATTAGGTTTAGGTACCTACTTATAACGCGTTATACATCAACAACAAACCCTGATACTATCATAGATATATAATAGTGTACTTTAAAAGTTTCAAGTACCCACGAAAAATATTATACAATCACAACAAAATAACTATAATAGTTATTCTAGGCTTTTTTAATATATAATTTCGTCCAAATTTGAAATTAAAATGATTATAAAAATAAACTGTCCTTCTGTATTCTTTGATTTTTTTGGTAACAGAATTAACTAACGTGGAATCTTGTTTTAAATTTTCAATCCTTAAATAAATTGTGTCTATGTATTTTAATTATTTTTCAACTGATATTGTAACAATATATCAGAAGCCTTGTATTAAATATTTACACATTTTGGCCCAACAGATAAAACTTAATTGATATTTATAGAAAAAAAAAACAAAAAAAATTTAAAACTGTAAATGTCCGTAAACAGCTCAAAAAGAGTCAAAATATTTTCAAAATTGTATGGTGTATTGGAAATACTAATATAAACATTCAGTGAACTTTAAATGTATCTACAGTCATTCGTTTTTGAATTACAACAAAATAAGGTAATCGTTACACGAGAAATCGAGTGAAATGTGAATATCCAATGTTGTAAAAATTTGAATTTCAAACGCTCATAAAAATTTAATTTGAATTTCTTATAGACATTTTTGAAGTGAAACTTCTTTACGCAGGGTAGTGAAAAAAAAACGAAATGTAACTGGCGGCGTGTACGAACTAATATTATCGTAAAGTACTTAAATAATTATCGTTTTTCAAAAACATCATCGTACACCAAACATTTTTTTGCTTCAGTGCCCAGATTATAATACCCTGTACAGTATATAAATATATAATACTATAATATTGGCATATTGCATATGCCAACGCAAGTGTGCATTCTTTATTGTTGTCACACAGTCAACATTTTAGACTCGCATAGTCGCGCATTACAACTCACCGATGCTTCGACTGCTGTGGACTGAAACTTGTAAGATCGTACTCACGATTTTTTTCGTGCGTATTCTAACTTTAGGGTACCACAACACGCTTATATACCATGCTCCTCGTACAGTATACTGGGTGATTCTTTTCAAACAACACACATTATTTCAAAAAGTGTAAATTATTTTGAAGATATTTTTTTACATAGTTTCAAGTCGCTTATAAAACAACGTTTTTATTAAAAAAATTATATTTTTAATTACTTTTTATCCTTATAATTTTTTAAGTTTTTACTTGTTTGTATGACAACATAGGGTTTTAATTTTATATTCTAAAGTAGAATATTTTTCTTAGTATTTTGATACATGAAAATTGAATTTGGGCGAGTAGTTTATGAGTTATAAGTATTTAAAGTTTAGACGAGCAGTGAAGTGGACAAACATTTCGCGGGGTAACCCCGAACCACTCCACTCCGCTCGTCTAAGCTTTATAAATACTTTTAAAGTTTTAACTCATAAACTACTCAACCCAAATTCGATTTTCATGTATCAAAATACTAAGAAAAATATTCTGCTTTGGAATATAAAATTATAACCCTATGTTGTTATTCAAAAAAGTAAAAAACTTAAAAAATTATAAGGATAAAAAATAATTAAAAATATAATTTTTTAATAAAAACGTTGTTTTATAAGCGACTTGAAACTATGTAAAAAAATATTTTCAAAAAAATTTACACTTTTTGAAATAATGAGTATTGTTTGATAAAAGAATCACCCAGTATATTATATTATATTAAATATACACATATTATGTTATTGTGAAGGAGACGACGAATATGCAAATATACAATATAATGCGTTGCAGCGTGCATATATGCATTCGAAAAGCTTCGTGGTGCCGATGGGATTTACGATATATTATTATACCTACACCAGTAGGTATATGGTCTGATTGTACACCACCATTCACCAATGTACCTATACAATACCTAACTATAATAATATATAGATATGTATATGTACACCTGCAGCGTGTGTACGATTGTTGTTCGTACATTAAAAAGTACACATGCCGGCGGCGTTTGTTGGCATTTGTTTGATTCATATTACCATGTGAGTAGCCGGAAACGACTTAAATAATAATAGTGCGTGTAATGAATAGTTTATTATAAATTTGTTGAATATTGTACTGGCGTTCAAAATGTTTGTTAGTTCGCAGTTCGGTTATTATTAATGTATCCAAAAAATAAAAGTAAGTTAGCCAGATCGATAGATAATCGTTTGTAGTATTGTTTTTATCCAGAAAAAAGATTTGTGAGTGAATTTATTAATTAATATAAAATAAAAAAAATTAAGGTGTAAAGCGTTGAGAAGTAAGTGGTAAGAGCCACGTTAGTTAAGTGACTTTTTTTTGCAAGAATAAATATTATATAAACGTTGCAAAATAAAAAAACAGATACATCCATCTTGGCCCATACTAATTAATATGAATAGGTAGTTAATGATCGATTATTATAGCATCTATACTGAGAGCCCAATATCAGTTAGCATCTAGACTATCCCCCCTCCTATTTGCGCCTATGCATCTAGTATATTTAATTAATTGTTATTAATTGATTAATTCACTCACAAACCTTTTACCTGGATAAAAACAATACTACAAAGAATTATCCATCGATCTGTTGAATAAAAATAAAAATAATAAAAGTATCAATAAAAAATAATTCAGGATAACTTCCTCTCATTTTTTAAATAATTAATATTAATTATTAACTCACATGTACAGTTCAAAAGAAGTTTCACTTCCCGCGAGCGTAATGATAACACACACCCTATTTTTATTTTTTTGATAAAGGTAGGATAGCTTAAGGGGATCTTGTATTACATTTTAAAATCTTAGATATAAAAAGAAAAATGTTTACGAATTCTTAACTCAAAATAATTTGCTAATTTTCGTGATTTTTCCATATTTTGTAAATTTTTGAACTTTAAATGATTATAAAAAAAAAACTGTGACTAAGGATTTTTAATATTTTTCAAAATGTCATTGTAACAAATAACAATAAAGTATAAGAGCCTTGTATTAAATGTTCAAGTATTTTTACCCAACAAATAAAGTTTTATTGACATTCATAGAAAAAAAAAATAAACTAATAAAATGGGAAACTGAAAAAGTCCCTAAACAGTTCAAATCAAATCAAAATATTTTGAAAACGTTAGCGTGTATAGAAAATGCGAATACAAAACAAGCAGTAAAAATTTCATGTATATACGTTCATTCGTTTTAGAGTTACGCCAAAAACCAAAATAGATTTTGTCGAAAACCGATTTTGCGTAAAAATTCCCGTTTTTCCTTAACTTTTCTTTTGTTTTTCTTGGCGCTTTTGAAAATTTCTGGGATTTTAAATTTTGACCTCCCCAATGCACCAATAATATTAACTTTCCAATCGAACAAGATACTGAAGTTGAAAATCGAAGCATTATTATTTCGACTACTTATCGTGTACACAGACACAAAAAAAAAAATTAAAAAAAAACACACATCATTATAAAATCGTTTCACTAAGAATCTAAAAGGCGAGTAAGTGGATTTCTAAAAGTAATTAAATTTGAATTCAATGATATATATATCATTGTATACGAAAGTCGAAAAGCGATTCTGAGCGGTGACGGTTTGTCAGTGTGGATATTTTATATTATATTTATTTTGTATTTTTGTTAATAATTTGTTATTACTTATTATTAATACGGTAGCCGATAAGTTGAATAAATATTAAACAATTACAACAAAATAAATAAAATCGTTATTTTTGGTTATTAAATATGTAATTTCTTCCAAATTTACTATAAATTAACTATAAAAAAAACTGTGTTTTTATATTTTTGAGATTTTTTGGTTACAGAATAACCTAGGTACTTAAGTGGAACGTAAGTTTTAAATCCTCAGCTATAAAAGTTGAACATTTTATACATTTTTAACTACAAAAACATTTTTAAATTTTAAATTTTATAAATATTGTCAAAAATCGAACTTTAACTATATAACTTTAACTTTAAGTAGGTATCTATGGTCTGACCTCAAACGCTAATGATATCAACTATCTGAATTCGGCGCGCTATGATAATAGCTATAAGGGAAATATCAAATATTATATACTATCACTTTTTTTTAAAATAAAAATCACAGCTCATTAATGATACCTATTCAACGTAGGTGTGGACCACAGTACCTACCACACATTTTATTATTGGTCGAATAAAATATTAACAATTAAGTGTAAACATAAATCCTGTTGCTTTCCACAATGTACTGCCAGGCAAATATAAAAAACGAACGATAAATGATTGAGTATTAAATATTCACGAGTCATACTTCGTTTAATATTTTATTATTTTATAGTTTTTAAAAAATAGAAGTATTTTTTCACACATTTCCAACTGATCAGAAATTCAGACACCCTATGAGGCGCCCATGATATATTTTAATAAATTGGTTCAATCATTTCTTCTATATCATTCCTTATTTTGTTTACAACAGTGAACGACAAGTCAACAATTCGACTTTTGGTAATTTATCTATTCTGTGGTTAAATACTTAAATCCAGAATTTAGTCCGTCACCGCGGTAAAATGCGTAAAATCAGTTTCACCATCCAAAAATCCAAAATTAAATATTACAGTGATTGGAAGAATTGCGTACTGATAAGATGTTAAGAGTACAAGATAAACACACAGATTGTTCGGTGATAAAGTTACCTATTAGATAAAATACATATTTTGAAATGTTAATTGATAAAAGCTAAAGTCTAAAATTGTATAAAAGTATAAAGTAGTCGCTTAACGGAATTTTACGATTTCACATGTTCTCTTCTGTTAATTTAGTAAAAAGAAATTATTTTCCGATCAGGTTTATGTTCACGATCACAGTTTATGTACGCATTTGAATACGTAAAAGTGTAAATCTTCAATATTATTTTCTAGTTGAATTGTGTGCGTCGGCGGGTATTATGACATCAAAAATCGAATGTGTTATTAGACAAGCAATAACTACATTTTCGGGTTCATATACATCAAAGGCTTTTCACGATAATTTGATTAAACTGAAACGCAATGCCAATGAATTGGACGCACGGTCGATTGGCTTGGATTTTAGATTGTTGCGATGGGATACATATGAATTGCACAACAACCTTGATAAATTGTCTGGATCCACATTTATACGCCGTCATCAAGCTCCCGTTACTTACATTGAAGTGTTTGAAGATGAAAACGTATCAATCGGTGTTTTCGTGTTGAGAGATGGTGCTAAAATACCTTTACATGATCACCCTTACATGTACGGTGTGTTAAAAGTTATCTATGGTAAAGTCAAAATACAAAGTTATACGCCCGTTCATAAGGATTATAGCCAAATAAAGTAATTATTGTATCTAGTTGTAAAATTTTATTTAATATTTTAATTTGCGCCTAATAGTTGTATGTCCACAGCGACTGTAACATTAGTGCAATAAAACTGGCACCAATTATTGTTGGAGAAACGGACGATCCGTGTGTGCTGTGCCCAGTGGAAGGAAATATTCATCAAGTGGATACCATTGATGGTCCAGCCGCATTTGTTGACATATTAGCTCCACCATATAAAACTGACATTCCGGAAGTAGGGAATAGATGTTGCAGGTACTTTAAAGAAGTAAATATATCTAAAGATACCAAGTTAGCTATTATATCAAATCCTAGAGATTACTGGAGTGATACAGCTCTATATACTGGACCTCAATTTAATATAAATTTTGAACATAAAACTTAATTGCTACATTCTTTAAATAATTTTATACATCATATAAAATAAAATAATATTATTTTATGACTACTAGTCATCGTGCCTAAATCTAATCATTTTACGGATACATTACACTTAATGTTAGATATGGGAATTCTTGTATTTAAAGTTTTCCAATTTACAGTATTTTTCAATAATAATTTTTTATTAGACATTGATATTATAATGAGATAGGTATAATTTGGGCTTTGAAAAAGATACTTAATTATCTGGATTAACTATTTTTATAAATTATTAGCTTATTTTCAATGAATTTAATATGTATTTAAATTGATTTACATTCATACATGTACTTATAATTTTTTATTAATTTAATTTCTAAAATTGTGTTAAAAATATTTTTTCCTAGTTATGTTCATATTAATTATAATATAATATATATTTTGTTTTTCCTGAAAGGTGATATATTTTAACTATACAGATGTATATGTAATTGTTATATTTTTACTATTTATTAAAATTAATTCTAAATTGAAATGGTTATTTATTTTTTAGTTATTTTAGATTATAATTATAGGTACATATTTTATGTATGAGGGTTTAACATAATACTAAATAATGGACTGTCCTAAAATTCAAGAGGACTATTGCCTCCTAATTTCCTAAGTTATTAACATTTTGGGACACCTAGTGTTAAGATGAGCAAAATACTTATTTCACAATTTAACTGGATGTATTATTTCACTATTAACATTGGTATCTACTATTAATTTTCTTTATGTTACTCATACACTTACAACATTTGACGGGCTCTTATATTTTCTTTTATATTATAATAAGTAATAACATAGCCACGTGTCTGTACATCTTATTTTGTTAAATTTTTTTTTAATTTTAAATTAATATTTAATTTCTATTTTTTATGTAAATGTATCAAATGTATTGTCTATTATAATTTTAAAAATAGTTGAAATCATTGAAAATTTCAATTAAAACATACCTACGCTTTAATTTTATTTTATTGATAATAAAATATAATAATTTGGTTATTCTACAAATTCATTCAATTTGATTCTAGTAGGTATGACTGTATAAGTTGTTTAAAGAAAGTTTAAATATTTTTTCCCTTACTTAACCATTCCCAGTGGCTCAATTTGAGTTATTTTAATAAACATGTCAACATTTAAGTAGATTAATTTGTTTTTCATTGTCAGACCACTTTTCTTCATCATAGTAAATACTAAATAGTAATTATACATTATGTCATATGTATGGCTGTATGGAGTTGAAGGGTTATATATTTAATATTTTAATAAATTGTGAGTAGGAAATGGATTTTTTCACACCTGCACAGAAATTTTAATTTCTGATACCGGCTGAAGCGATGGAAAATGATTTTTTCCCGACCGGTGAGCGGATAAGTGGAAATCCAACGCAGCTGTTGGAAAGGTTAATGTCCAAATCATTTCAATATCTTACATGAAAGAATCGATACGTTGCTGTTGTATCATTGATTACAAATACTAGCATCATAGAACAAACTAGCTACTATTCATAATCAATGGTTGTATCTATATTACCCCATGTCCTACTTGGATGCGAAGAAAAACAAAACAGCATTGTAGACAATTCGTAGTGGAGCGGAATAGAAATCGCCACATTTACGTATGTCATAGCGTTATATCAAATACTATAATATAATATATTAAAGCCAATAGGTGGTTTGATCTCGTGCCGTTTTATTTGAAAGACTGTGGGGGCCGAGTAGTGGCTCCATGTTGCTGTTGGTAGGGGTGCGACTTTAATATTTTATCTCTAGTCATAGCTCTCATATAACAAATTAAGATAAATAATACATATAATATTACTTTTAAGCTTTAAGTGATTTTATTGTCAAAGTGGCCGCAGTATAAAATAAATCTATAATATTATGTCATAAGGTTTATAATAATTAACAGCTGTAGTATACTATATTATACTTGTATAGAAATATTGATAGGTATAGGTAGGTACGGAAATAATATAATATTAATATGTTTATTTAAAAATACTAATCGACAATGGTGACCGAAAACGATGCTCGTATATATTATACCTACTTAGTTGATTACCTACCATACTAATATTTTACCGTAAGCATGTCCATGAATGACGCTCCCGGTCGTCCAAAATGCGTATTTAAGTTCGTGATTTATAGACTCACACGCACACGATTAATCAGCCTTCGCTCTTTGCTTATATTAATTTAGGGCGTATTCAGAACAGCTCTGACGACCAAATTTTTCGTCCAAACACTGCTCATGACGTCTATAAGTAATCATACGCGCTCATGGTTTCTGAGAGAAACAATGCAATGTTCACACACAACAAAATGTATTATGAATATACTATTACTAAAAAATTAAAAACAGTTTTAATAAAGTATAAAATTAATTGTCTTCTTTTCTTTAATTTTAGTAGGGGGTGAGATCGTCCCGTCGTCCAAGCCATGAGCCACCACTGAATTTGATACAGTTTGGCAGATCTAGATACCGAGAACAGCACAAATAGTTCATTATGGATACCATTTGTCCTTTTATCATAATAACGATAGAGGAGTTTTTGGAGGAGACAGAGGCTCGTCAAAAAATAGATAGTGTGGTGGGTGGGAATGCAATATTTCAGTCTTGGTCGACTTGCAGCCGTAGCTCGTGAAATAGCTCACTTCGACACTTCCCTTGTCAGATGCAATGTAGTATAAAAAAAATATTTTCATAGGTTAGGTTATACCAATAATATAATATATTATAGGTATAGGAACATTTTTTAGAGCATGGCGATTTTAAGCACAACTTAATATTTTTGGATGGTGATGGGCTATGTCTGATTTCTTTTAGTTATTGAATCAATGAACGTATTGACTTAACAAAGATGTGTGTGATTTTTTTATTATTATTATTATTTCTGAGTCATTTATCTCATTTTGAAACAGTCTGATGGTGGTGTCTGGTATTGCAAATTGGGTCTTGTTAGTATTTTAGAGGAATCAAAGAAAAGAAATTTCCAGTACTTTTCAAAATAGAAGGGCAAAACAAAAAAAAAGGTGCTCTGCTGTATAGTGTACAGTAGGTTACAAGTGGGACACTATAATGGATGGTATTAAATTTGAATTCAATGATATTATATCATTGTATCTATAAGAAAAACGATTCTGAGCGGAGACGGTATGTCAGTCTAGGTATAAGACATATTATAAACGTGTCTATGGTATTACAAAAAATTGGAAGGTACTTACCCTTAATTTTTCATAATTTACATCGACCGCGTAATGGTCACTATAGTGGAGTAATCGTCGAATTCGTAAGATCTCAGAGTGGGTAATCTTCTTCGCCAGCACTACGACTTTGAGGAAGTTAGATTAGTTTGAATAGTATGTTGAGTAAAATTAAGAGTTTGACCACTCGTTTTTAAAAAGGACGTGAAATAAAACAGAAACCACAAAGTCTTATAGTGTAATATTAAGAAAAAAACCATCTGCTTATATCGTACTAATAAAACTAATAAATCCAGTATCTATGCTTAGCATTGCTTTCTACTAAGTTTTAAGATCCTTAACAGTTTATTATAAATGATAAAATGTTACACTGGACAGCGGACTGTTCGACACTTTTATATCCAGGATAAAATCCACGTATAGTATATTTTATTACCAATGACAAAAAATTACGCACTGACCAATATTAAAATGAAATATCACAAATATTGACATTCAGTTAATTTTTAAATGTTATGACATAACTATAACAATTCTTGAATTTTTATATATTATCATATTAATGACATAAAATTAAATATTTTTGCATACCCAACAAGTATGGTGAAAAAATGAGTAAATACATTTTTCACAATGATATATTAAAAATGCACCGTAATTTCTTTTGAAAGTAGGGTTAAATTAATAAATTCAAACAATATTATTATCAAGTACAATATGCATTTATTAATAAGCCGTTAAAATGTTATGAATATTAAAAAAAAATATCCACAAGTAAATTTAACTTTACAAAAACAAATACATATTTATATAATGTGTTAATAATATTGTAAATAGTAAATAACTGTCTAGCTCAATAGTTCAAGAAGACATTTAAAAAAATACATAATAAATAATAATATCGGATTACTAATATATTTTGTCGTTACAGCAAACGTCGTTTTTATCCATTGTGGTTTGTTTGGTCAGATAATTTAATCTCAATACGCATCTGTTTTCATGTACACACACTTGCGGATCATCTAGTTGTTCTGGACTCGTATCTCCGATGTGAGCTCATGACGAGGTCAGACGTTTTTACATGCGCACATCAAGAAATCTAAGTGCCGCAGCGTTGGCACACCAACTTTTACCCCATAGCCACAATATGACCATCGGATGAAAACAAACGTGCCAACGCTGTGGCTAATTGACACTTAGACTGCCTGGTGTACGCACATAAAAACGGTTGTCCTCGGTGTAGAACTGCTTCAGAACAATTGCGTTTTCTGCAATATGCCCAAGAAAACCGACGTGTGGAGGATTCAACGACCGTAACCCCATGGTCGGAGGTAGACGCTAAAGATTTTGACAGTGTGCATTGCGGCCCGAAGTTGGGCGGCCATCTTGAATTCTATTCGACCCATATTGATTTATACGCGTGTTGAACACTGCAAACAAACAAGTGTAATAATTAATACGTTATAAGGGATACGATTTTTTAAATATTACAATTGTTAGGATAAACCGCGAAATGGTGCGAAAGACGTGACTAAGACAAAAAACGCTAAAATTCAACTGTCGATAGCGACACGGAAACGCGTGCGAATAAACGACGAGACTTACTTGTTTTGACTTTTGACGTTCGATTCTGGCTTCCGCATAACACGAACAAAATATATTCGGCATTCGGAAACCCGACCAAGGTAATCATCGATTGAACGACGACTACCCTGGTCGGAACCCAATGGCTGAATTAAAATCCAAGACGTTTGACAACCGGCCTAGACGGGCA